GTAGTGTGTGGAGTGTGTGGAGTGTGTGTAGTGTGTGGAGTTTGTGTAGTGTGTGTAGTGTGTGTAGTGTGTGGAGTGTGTGTAGTGTGTGTAGTGTGTGGAGTGTGTGTAGTGTGTGGAGTGTGTGTAGTGTGTGGAGTGTGTGGAGTGTGTGGAGTGTGTGTAGTGTGTGGAGTGTGTGTAGTGTGTGTAGTGTGTGGAGTGTGTGTAGTGTGTGTAGTGTGTGGAGTGTGTGTAGTGTGTGGAGTGTGTGTAGTGTGTGTAGTGTGTGTAGTGTGTGTAGTGTGTGGAGTGTGTGTAGTGTGTATAGTGTGTGGAGTGTGTGGAGTGTGTAGAGTGTGTGTAGTGTGTGTAGTGTGTGGAGTGTGTGGAGTGTGTGGAGTGTGTGGAGTGTGTGTAGTGTGTGGAGTGTGTGGAGTGTGTGGAGTGTGTGGAGTGTGTGTAGTGTGTGGAGTGTGTGTAGTGTGTGGAGTGTGTGCAGTGTGTGGAGTGTGTGCAGTGTGTGGAGTGTGTGTAGTGTGTGGAGTGTGTGTAGTGTGTGTAGTGTGTGGAGTGTGTGGAGTGTGTGTAGTGTGTGTGTAGTGTGTGTAGTGTGTGTAGTGTGTGTAGTGTGTGGAGTGTGTGTAGTGTGTGGAGTGTGTGGAGTGTGTGTAGTGTGTGTGTAGTGTGTGTAGTGTGTGGAGTGTGTGTAGTGTGTGTGTAGTGTGTGTAGTGTGTGGAGTGTGTGTAGTGTGTGTAGTGTGTGGAGTGTATGTAGTGTGTGGAGTGTGTGTAGTGTGTGTAGTGTGTGGAGTGTGTGGAGTGTGTGTAGTGTGTGGAGTGTGTGGAGTGTGTGGAGTGTGTGTAGTGTGTGGAGTGTGTGTAGTGTGTGGAGTGTGTGGAGTGTGTGTAGTGTGTGTGTAGTGTGTGTAGTGTGTGTAGTGTGTGTAGTGTGTGGAGTGTGTGTAGTGTGTGGAGTGTGTGGAGTGTGTGTAGTGTGTGTGTAGTGTGTGTAGTGTGTGGAGTGTGTGTAGTGTGTGTGTAGTGTGTGTAGTGTGTGGAGTGTGTGTAGTGTGTGTGTAGTGTGTGTAGTGTGTGGAGTGTGTGTAGTGTGTGGAGTGTGTGTAGTGTGTGTAGTGTGTGTAGTGTGTGGAGTGTGTGTAGTGTGTGTAGTGTGTGTAGTGTGTGGAGTGTGTGGAGTGTGTGGAGTGTGTGTAGTGTGTGTAGTGTGTGAAGTGTGTGGAGTGTGTGGAGTGTGTGGAGTGTGTGAAGTGTGTGTAGTGTGTGGAGTGTGTGGAGTGTGTGTAGTGTGTGTAGTGTGTGTAGTGTGTGTAGTGTGTGTAGTGTGTGGAGTGTGTGTAGTGTGTGTAGTGTGTGGAGTGTGTGGAGCGTGTGGAGCGTAGCAGTTCGCGCGCGTTGCGCCATGAACCCCGTCGAACCGGGCTCGATTCCCGCTCGCGGCCAACGACGCCGGGTGACGTTAATCTGAACCGGTGCTGGGCCTCCCCTGGGTCGACTCGGCCTCAAATGAGAAACCCGGCAGTGTGGTGTCGTGAGCCACATTAGGCGTCGGGGAGACCGGAGCAACCCGATGAGCCTACGGAGCTTTTGTTTTTTTTTGGGAGTCCGGGGGCGGGTGGCGCGGTTGGGGGGGGGGGTGAGGGGGGGGTCGGGGGGGGGGGTCGGGGGGGGGTCGGGGGGGGGGGTTCGGGGGGGGGTCGGGGGGGGGTGTCTGGAAGCTCCGTGCGGAGTGGAGCCCCCCCGCCTCATTAGCGGGCAGGGCAGCAGCGTGGAGACGCACGGAGAACGATGGTTGAGGGGGGGGGGGCGGTGGAGGAGGAGTATTTGTGGGGGTGCGGTTCTGTGCGGGCCACGATGCCGAGGCGCATTCTCCGGCGCGCATTAATCATCCAAATTAGCGCCAGGGTTGTCACCGCGCCGGGCACGCGCAGAGCCGTCGTCGGCGCGGTGTCGGCGACCGAAATCCTCGCAAGGGATGGAGAGAGGGATGGAGAGGGAGCCCAGGGAGAGAGCCAGGGAGAGGGAGAGAGAGCCCGGGAGAGGGAGAGAGCCCGGGAGAGAGCCAGGGAGAGAGCCAGGGAGAGGGAGAAATGGAGAGAGAGCCAGGGAGAGAGCCAGGGAGAGGGAGAGATGGAGAGGGAGAGAGAGCCAGGGAGAGGGAGAGAGAGAGAGAGAGCCAGGGAGAGAGCCAGGGAGAGGGAGACATGGAGAGAGAGCCAGGGAGAGAGCCAGGGAGAGGGAGAGATGGAGAGGGAGAGAGAGCCAGGGAGAGGGAGAGAGAGAGAGAGAGCCAGGGAGAGAGCCAGGGAGAGGGAGAAATGGAGAGAGAGGGCCAGGGAGAGAGCCAGGGAGAGATGGAGAGGGAGAGAGAGCCAGGGAGAGGGAGAGAGAGAGAGAGAGCCAGGGAGAGAGCCAGGGAGAGGGAGAAATGGAGAGAGAGAGAGAGGGCCAGGGAGAGAGCCAGGGAGAGATGGAGAGGGAGAGAGAGCCAGGGAGAGGGAGAGCCCAGGGAGAGGGAGCGAGGGAGGGAGAGATGGAGAGAGAGAGCCCTGGGAGAGAGGGAGGGAGAGAGAGCCAGGGAGAGGGAGGGAGAGAGCCAGGGAGAGGGAGCGAGGGAGGGAGAGATGGAGAGAGAGAGCCCTGGGAGAGAGCCAGGGAGAGGGAGAGAGCCCAGGGAGAGAGCCAGGGAGAGGGAGAGAGAGCCAGGGAGAGACAGCGAGAGATAGAGAACGAGAGAGAGTGAGACACAGAGAGCGAGTGAGAACAAGAGAGAGTAGTATTTTTTTGTTACAAATATTACATAGAAAACAGGGGGAGCATCAACATAGAGTAGGGAGAGAGGGGGTAGAGAGAGAGAGGGGGTAGAGAGAGAGGGGGTAGAGAGAGAGGGGGTAGAGAGAGAGAGAGGGGGTAGAGAGAGAGAGGGGGTAGAGAGAGAGAGGGGGTAGAGAGAGGGGTAGAGAGAGAGGGGGTAGAGAGAGAGGGGGGTAGAGAGAGAGGGGGTAGAGAGAGAGAGAGGGTAGAGAGAGAGAGATGGTAGAGAGAGAGAGAGGGGGTAGAGAGAGAGGGGGTAGAGAGAGAGGGGGTAGAGAGAGAGGGTAGAGAGAGAGGGGGTAGAGAGAGAGGGGGTAGAGAGAGAGAGGGGGTAGAGAGAGAGAGAGGGTAGAGAAAGAGAGAGGGGGTAGAGAGAGAGGGGGGGTAGAGAGAGAGAGAGGGGGTAGAGAGAGGGGGTAGAGAGAGGGGGTAGAGAGAGGGGGTAGAGAGAGAAAGAGAGGGGGGGTAGAGAGAGAGGGGGTAGAGAGAGAAGGGGTAGAGAGAGAGGGGGTAGAGAGAGAGAGGGGGTAGAGATAGAGAGGGGGGTAGAGAGAGAGGGGGTAGAGAGAGAGAGGGGGTAGAGAGAGAGAGGGGTAGAGAGAGAGAGGGGGTAGAGAGAGAGGGGGTAGAGAGAGAGGGGGTAGAGAGAGAGGGGGTAGAGAGAGAGGGAAGCGGTAAGAAAGAGGAGAGCAGAGCGTGAAATCTTTTGTTAAATCTTTCATTTAAAAAGGGCGGGGGCAGGGCGGGGGGCGGGGGGCGGGGGGCACATAAAGCAAAGCATTGAAACCCCCCCCCCCCCAAAAAAAAAAACGAAATGATGAACGAAGCAAAGTGCCGACTACACCGAGCAGAGACAGAGACAGTGAGAGAGTGAGAGAGAGAGCGGGTGATGGGGTTATCGCGAGAATGAAGAACCGAGCCCAAAACCATCCACAAGTTCAGCATTCCCAGCCGACGTTCAGTGGACTTGTAGCTTGCGTGTTCTCCCTGCGGTCGTGTGGAATTTTCCTCCCTTTCCCTCCAGGTTTTCCCCTTCCATATATAGACGCATGCTATGATTTTCCACGTGGTAAGCCACTTTGTCGAGCTATCCTTTGTGATAGCCAGGTTGCTTCTTTAAAAAAAAAGAGCTATACAGCTCAGTGGGGCCTTACCTGGTAAAATTAAGAATTTGTATTCTTAGCTCTGTCGGTAAAGTCACGTTGAAGGGAAACAATAAAATAAAAAAATATATATAAAACAATAAAAATTCTCACGACGTTTCGACCATAACTTCAACGTGGTGACTTTAACGAAAGAGCTAAGAATATTAATTACTGCGGTCACGAAAGCTTTAAATCAAAGTTTAACAATTTGTAGTTTATAATTTAGTTTATTACTCGATAATCGTATCCCCCCTTTTTTTTGCTTGGACCAATTCTGGTGATATGCCCCGCGTTCACCAGTTCAACACGCAGGCTTTCGCGACCAAATATTACATCATTCGTATTAGCCAGAGTCGCTTCTGCGGAAAGATCTATGATGCTCAGTAGTGAGATTCACCCGGTAAAAATAAAATAAAAATTTCGATTTAAAGCTTTCGTGACTGCAAGGATTCATCTTCTTTGGCTCTTTCGGTAAAGTCACCACGTAGAATGAGAATAAAATAATAAATTGATAAAATAAAATAACACGATAATATTCTCACGACGTTTCGGCCACAACACAAGCGGCCTTCATCAGGTGAAGGGACGAGACTGTCTGGTAGGACAGCGCTGGAGTGAAAGAGCCACGTTCAGATCACGGCCTTTAAGCCGTTCACGGCCTTTAAGCCGTTCACGGCCTTTAAGCCGTTCACGGCCTTTAAGCCGTTCACGGCCTTTAAGCCGTTCACGGCCTTTAAGCCGTTCAGATCACGGCCTTTAAGCCGTGATCTGAACGTGGCTCTTTCACTCCAGCGCTGTCCTACCAGACAGTCTCGTCCCTTCACCTGATGAAGGCCGCTTGTGTTGTGGCCGAAACGTCATGAGAATATTATCGTGTTATTTTATCTTAAAAATTGTATTATTTTATTCTCATTCTACGTGGTGACTTTACCGAACGAACCAAAGAAGAAAAATAAAAATAGTTAACATCCGTGTTTTTTTAATTTATTTATTTACTTACTTAACAAACCGCGTTCGTTCCCACGGCCCACGCTGGTGCAGGTGCGCATCTACCTGGAGGACATCAACGACAACTCCCCAGTGTTCTCGGCGCCGGTGCTCAACGTGACTGTGCCTGAGAACTCGCCGCTGGGCGCCCGCTTCCCGCTGCCCACGGCGACGGACGCGGACGCGGGGCGTAACGGCGTGCAGCGCTACTCGCTGGCGCGGCGCGACGACGCCTTCGCCCTCGAGGTGGTGGACAGCGCCGACGCCGAGAAGTCGCCCCAGCTCGTGGTGCGGGCGCCCCTCGACCGCGAGCGCCGGGACGCCTACGAGCTGCGCCTGCGCGCCGAGGACGGCGGGAGACCCCCGCGCACCGGCACGGCCGTCCTCCGCGTGCTCATCGGCGACCTCAACGACAACTCGCCGGCGTTCGAGCGCGACCAGCTGGAGGCGACCGTGCCCGAGGACGCGCCGCCGGGGACGCCCGTGGCGCGCCTGAGCGCCGCCGACCCGGACGCCGGCGCCAACGGCGAAGTGGTCTACTCGCTGGCGCCGCGCACGCCGCCGGCGTCGGCCCGCCTCTTCGAGGTGGACCCCGCGACGGGAGAGGTGAGGGTGCGGGGCGCCCTCGACCGCGAGGAGGCGCCGGTGCACCGGCTGCTGGTGCTCGCCGCCGATCGGGGCCCGTCGCCGACGCCGGCCACCGCCACCGTGGTCGTGGCGCTCGCCGACGTCAACGACAACGCGCCGGCCGTCGCCGTGCACGCCATCGCGGCGCCCGTCGACGGCGCCGTCGAGATATCCGAGGCGGCGGCGCCCGGCACGCCGGTGGCGCTCGTCGAGGTGAGCGACCCGGACGCGGAGCAGAACGGCGCGGTGACGTGCCGCGTGGAGGGCGCCGACGGCGGCGGGCCGGCGGCGTCGGCGCCGCCGTTCCGCCTGCGCCGGGCCTACCCCAACAACGCTAACCACTACCTGCTGGAGACGTCCGGCGTGCTCGACTTCGAGGCCAGGCGAGAGTATGACGTGCGGGTGGTGGCGTCCGATGCCGGCGCCCCTGGCCTGTCGGGCTCGGCGACGGTGCGCGTGCGTCTGCGCGACGAGAACGACAACCGGCCCTACTTTGCACCGGCCGTCATCAACGCGTCGGTGTACGAGAACGGGGCGCCGGGTGCCGCCGTGCTCACGCTGCGCGCGTTCGACCGCGACAGCGGCGCCAACGGCGCCCTCACCTACGAGCTGGGGCCCCGCGCGCCGCCGGTGCTCCGGCTCGACCGGGCCACCGGCGCGCTCACCGTGAGCGAGCCGCTCGACCGCGAGGAGGCGGCGCTCTACCGCTTCACGGTGGTGGCGCGCGACGGTGGCTCGCCGGCGCTGGAGGGCGACGCGACGGTGTTCCTCCGCGTGCTCGACCGCAACGACAACCCGCCGCGCTTCGCCAGCCGCGAGTTCAACTTCTTCCTGTCGGAGAACCTGCCCAGCTACAGCACCGTCGGCGTGCTGAGCGCCACCGACGCGGACGAGGGCCGCAACGCCCTGGTCACCTTCTCGCTGGTGCGCGACAGCGACGTGTTCGCCATCAACCCGGTGACGGGCATGATTCGTGCCAACGCCTCCTTCGACCGCGAGCGGGTGTCCGCGTACGAGTTCGACGTGCGGGCGACGGACGCCGGCGAGCCGCCCCGTACAGCGACGGCACGCGTCACCATCCACGTGATGGACGTGAACGACAACGCCCCCATCGTCCTCATGCCCGCCACCAACTCGAGTTTCCGCGTCGTCTCGCCCGCTGCCGGGCCCGGCACCCAGGTTGCCGAGATCGTGGCGCTTGACGGCGACGGAGGCCCCAATGCCGCCCTCGCCTACACCGTCGTCGGCGGCTCCGGCGGCGGCTCCGGCGGCGGCGCCGACCGGCGGCCCCTCTTTGCCGTCGACCCGGCGACCGGCAACGTGACGCTCTCGCGGGCCCTCGGCCCCGAGCACCGGGGCCTCCACCGGGTGGCGGTACGGGTGAGCGACGGTGGATTCCCGGAGCCCCTGAGCGCGCTGGCGCTCCTCCACCTCTTCGTGAACGAGACGCTGGGCGACGCGGCGCTGGTGCGTGAGATGGTCGCCCGGAGCAACCGTCTGCCCCTCGATGCCAGCGGGCCCGTGGGGGGCGGCGGAGGCGGCGGCAGGGCCGGCGCCGGGGTCGTCCGCGGGGCCCGAGGGGTCGAGGGCCGGGCGATACACCATCCTGGTGGCCATGGCGGCCGGGGCGGCCATTGTGATCCTGCTCATTGTCGCCGTGGTGCTCGCCCTGCGCTGCCGCGGTGGTCGCATAAAGAACGGCGGCGGCGGCGGCGGCGGCGGCGGCGCCGGGGTGTGGCGGGGGAAGGCGAGCGAGAACTGGCTGTCGGCGTCGCCGGGGGCGCACGAGCGCGATCCGTCGTCCAAGCCGCCGCAGGCGCCGTACAGCATCGTGACCATCGAGGAGGCCAAGGTGAGTGACGAAAACCCCTCACCACGTGTGGTGGTGGTAGCCAGGTGGCGCCGGCGCTGGTGCTGGTGGAACTTGCACGGCAGGTGTGGTGTAATTCATACGTGATGATGACGACGATGATGGCGAAGACGGCGATGACGACGACGATTACGAGCACGATGACAACAACGATGACGATCACAGTGATGACGACGACGAAGATGATGATGAAATGGGTTCGGTACAGTCAGTCTGTGATCGGCGGGTCCACGTGTTGGCCGTGGGTGTTCGTTTCTAGCGTCCAGACGACACCGCAGTGGTGCCGGGCCAGTTTCGTGGCGGAGATAAAGGCTCAGGAGTGGACGCGACGCTCACAGGGTTCAGCGAGCGGAGGAGTGGTCATTACCGGGGGAACTCATCAATGCCTGACACATCTGTTTATCACGGTTGGCTACATACGGTGCAAAAGAAGTCCAACATACACGTACATATGAAATGGGTACAACTGAGTCACAGACGTAGACTTTGGAGGCAACACATTTATTCAGTTCCAACACACGGGGTAACTTCCCCTTAACAGAATAACAACCTAAGGTGGTGACCACCCAGCTAACTACAATAGTTACAACACTAGTTACCACGTGACTGGTGTAGTTAACCGGGTGGTAACCACCCAGCTAACTACAATAGTTACCACGTAACTGTTACTACGGACCCGGGACTACAACATCTGTCCGGGTCCACGTGCTGGAAGACTTGTTGAATGGAGATCGTTGATGAAAGGGTTTCTTTTCCGGGATGAACAGCCCTGGTCCCTCTCGGGACCCGGCTTATATTCTCTGTGGCATTGCCGGCTCCGCCCTTGGCCACATCCACCTTCCAGAACCCTCGGGAAGGATCTGGGTCCCAATCATGTGACCCCCCTAGCCTCTTTGTCAACTTAACTGGTCACGTGTCCTCTCGGGTCAACCAGAGTGCCATGGCCTCATACAACTTCACCCTTCGGTCGGCACCCACACACCCTGTAGGGCCAGCGCTGCACTTGCAGCCTGGTGCCATCCAGCGCTATTATCCAGCGCACACCGTGCCCCTCTTGGGCCGGTACCGCACCCACAGCGTGGTGACAGCCAGCGATGTCACTACATCACCTCCCCCTTCGTAAGCACTCAGCCGTCCCGGCTGCCAACTCTCCCTCAATAAGACAAAGCCCCCTAGCGCTCGCTCCCTGATCGCGCTCGCTCCCTGATCGCGCTCGCTCCCTGATCGCGCTCGCTCCCTGATCGCGCTCGCTCCCTGATCGCGCTCGCTCCCTGTTCACGCTCGCTCCCTGATCGCGCTCGCTCCCTGATCGCGCTCGCTCCCTGTTCACGCTCGCTCCCTGATCGCGCTCGCTCCCTGATCGCGCTCGCTCCCTGATCGCGCTCGCTCCCTGATCGCGCTCGCTCCCTGATCGCGCTCGCTCCCTGATCGCGCTCGCTCCCTGATCGCGCTCGCTCCCTGATCGCGCTCGCTCCCTGATCGCGCTCGCTCCCTGTTCACGCTCGCTCCCTGATCGCGCTCGCTCCCTGATCGCGCTCGCTCCCTGATCGCGCTCGCTCCCTGATCGCGCTCGCTCCCTGTTCGCGCTCGCTCCCTGATCGCGCTCGCTCCCTGATCGCGCTCGCTCCCTGATCGCGCTCGCTCCCTGATCGCGCTCGCTCCCTGTTCGCGCTCGCTCCCTGATCGCGCTCGCTCCCTGATCGCGCTCGCTCCCTGATCACGCTCGCTCCCTGATCGCGCTCGCTTGCTCCTCTTCACACGCGCGCTGCGCGGCCCTAAGAGCGTGGGGGCAAACGTGAATCGCTGGCTGAGTTCCCTTACGCTAAAAACATAACAAAACTTAGAGGAAATAAAATTATTTTGTAAACTTGGAGAAGGATCGCACGGCTATTTCTGAGAAGTCAACAGCCGTGCTTGTGAATCTATTTTCCGGGAATTTAAACGCTCTTGTCTTTTGACGCCCTGTCACTTTTTTATATTTTGTAAATCGATGTTGTCATGTGGAACTTCATCTCTCAACGTCAAACAACAACAACGACAACATTTGAACCGCTTCCATTCCGTCCGTGTCAGTTCTCTGAACAAGACAGAACAACGGGGAAGAAGAGTCGAGAGAAAGAGAGTGGGGGGAGAGTATGACAATTGTTACTATATTTGTTTTGCCATTGGGAGAGAGAGAGAGATGGAGCGTTAGAGGAAGAGAGAGAGAGAGGAAGAGATAGATGGAGAGAGAGGGAGAGAGGAAGAGATAGTGGGCGCTGGAGGATGCTGTGTGCTCCGTGGCAGATGACGGAGAGCTCTGCATGCAGTTATGAGCTACCCATCGGAGGCCGTTTGACTGTGAGGAGGGCTGCGTGCAGATGCAGCACTTGTCGTAGTTATGAGCAAAAAGAGCGAGAGAGTGAGCGAGAGAGAGCGAGAGCGACATGGAGTAGGAAGAGAGGGGGGTAGAGAGAGAGGGGGGGGGGTAGAGAGAGGGGGTAGAGAGAGGGGGGGTAGAGAGGGGGGTAGAGAGAGTGGGAAGGGGAAAGGAGAGCGGTGCGCAAAATATTTTGTTAAATCGTTCATTTAAAAAGGGGGGGGTTACAAAAAGCAAAGCATAAAAAAAACGAAATGATGAACGAAGCAAAGTGCCGACTACACCGAGCATCTTCTTCGTGTTTCCTCTGATCGTTAAAAAAAATAGATAGAGGGAGAGAAAGGGAAATAGAGAAGAATAGAGAGAGAGAGGAAGAGAGAGAGAGAGAGCGAGAAAGAGAGAGCGACATGGAGTAGGAAGAGAGGGGGTAGAGAGAGGGGGGGGGGAGGGGCAGAGAGGGGGTAGAGAGAGAGAGGGAAGGGGTAAGGAGAGCAGAGCGAGAAATATTTTGTTAAATCTTTCATTTAAAAAAGGTGGTGGGGGGAGGGCTTCACATGAAGCAAAGCATACAAAAAAAAACAACGAAATGATGAACGAAGCAAAGTGCCGACTACACCGAGCATCTTCTTGTTTCCTCTGATCGTTAAAAACAGAAAGAGATAGAGGAAGAGAAAAAGAGAGAGAGAACGAGAGAGAGAGAGAGGAGACATGACGGCGTCTTGCCAGGATATTTTCCGATGACCTTGGTTAGTAATCGGTGGGATGACCCCCCCCCCCCTCCCTTCAGCCAGTCGTCTGTTCAGTGAAACGTCTTTTGAATGTTTAATGACTTGATGTGTCGGGGGCGGTGGGGGAGAGACGGCGGCGTTCATCAGTTTCCCTGACATGAACGCTTGCTTGACTCGGTGTACACGGTCGACTCCCGATTGTCCACGTTGCAGTGTATCCGATCGGCGGATTAACAGCGCGCCGCCTGAGATTTTGACGCAGATTAATGACTCGTGGATTTTCCCCCGAGAAACCGAAATTCATTATCTCCTAAACAGTTACACATTATTGTTCTTGGAAATGTTTATTTACAAGTCACACGGTGCTCACACCCAACAAATACGTCGCTTACGGTTAATCCGAAATCCACGCGACCGCCCTCTACAGTACAGTAGTTGCCACATCTTGACAACCAGTGGGTGGCGGAGTTTACTTGATGCTGATTGGCGTGGGTCCGCTGCTGTCATCCAATCAGTGGACCGAGTCTTGTGCTGGGCGGGAGCCAGGGACGCGTTGCTATCACTGATCACGCAAATTCATTCATCGATCGGTGGGTCGTATTCGTTCCACATCGAAAGAGTGACAATTAAAAATCGTCAGCTGCACTTCGCCTCGCGAGTGATTTATCCGATCGTTTATTTTGCGAGTTTGAATTTACGAGACCCGTTCGTTAACAAACTCAATTTTCTTAACCTAACCATGATTTGTACCTCCATTAGTGGCTTTTGCCATTGAGATCCGCGGAAAGTGATTGATTATATTTTTGGACGATCCGCGATTTTGATTTATTATCCACGGCCGTCCTCACCGTCATTAGCGCGGACAACGGACAGCCTGCTGCATTCATATTTTATCCCCTCGTTTAAGGCCACAGCAGTGTCGTTAACAAACAAGGGTCGCTCGCACGTGCTGGGGTTTCTTGGAGTCTGCAGCATCTCAAAGTTCCCCGTAACGTGCCTCATCCCCATCGTTCTTTGCTGTCAGCGAGCGCCTATTAGGGCCGGCATGGCGCGCGAGGGAGCGGGTGGCTGGAACCACGCCCTCCGCCGCCTTTGTCTCTCCAATCAGCCGTCGATCTCGGACGAAGCGGGGGGGGGGGGGGTGGTATAAGGCCCCCCTGGGTGCCGGTTCAGTTGCCCATCACCGGCGTTGGTCGGTGAGCGGGAATCGAACTCGGCGTGGCCGGGGTTTGTGGCGGAGCGCGTTAAACCCGCTCCCTCTCCGCCGTGAGATCGAGCCGTGGTAATTGCGCACTGACATTCGAATTCTCAGGAGCTGCACTTTGTTTAGCCGAATATAAAAGTTCGCAACCGGTTTTGAACAGGGCAAGCGATTGTTTCAGGCACTCGTGATTGGGATCTCCAGCTCACCACGCATGGGGACCCAGATTTATAGGAGAGGCAATTATCTAACGCTCGCTGTAATCTTTCAAAGTACTTTTTTTTTGTTTGCAAACTATTGCCGCTATGAATATGTACTCCACGATATTGCCGCGTTCGGCGCCTGGGGGCCGTTTCGTGTCAACTTGTAACGCTGTGCTTGCGACAGTGTTAGCTCGCTCGCGGAGAGAGGGAGGGAGGGAAGGAGTGAGAGACCGAAGCAGAGGAGAGAGAGAGGTGGAAGGAGAAGGGGAGAGAGACTTTTGACTTTTAAACAACTTTTATTGCCGCCGGCAGCAAATGCACTGGAGGCGATTTCGATATGAAACGCACAAAGTCACCCAGCAAACACGAATGAAATTAAACGCTACAAATCCACGCGCTGTGGCGCTAAAATGCACCGCGCACAACACGAAAGAAAAGTCACGTGGTTGTGGTGGTCATTCCCGCACGCCACGTTGCATTGATTCTCTTTT